CATAGACAATGTTCGTGTAAAATACATCATTTAATCTGCAAAAACATACACACACATAGGCGGCGCGTGGCTCCAACAGGGCTCAGCCCCCTATGAATCCTATCATGAAGCAGCTTGCATTCAAACGCAGCCTATACAGAGGGACAGCTGCCACCCGGAGGTCCCCTAGGGCCTGGGCTAAAAAAAACTGCGCTCACACAGGCGGATATCTGTGTTGAATCTGAGTCTATGGGTCTCTGTGTGTGCCTTTGGGACTCTCTGTGTGAGTCTATGAGTCTCTGTGTGAGTATATGGGTCTCTGTGTGAGTCTATGGGCCTCTGTGTGAGTCTATAGGTCTCTGTGTGTCTACGGGTTTGTGTGTGTCTTTGGGTCTCTGTGTGAGTCTATGTGTCTCTGTGTGAGTCTATGTGTCTCTGTGTGAGTCTACGGGTTTGTGTGTGTGTTTGGGTCTATGTGTGAGTCTATGGGTCTCTGTGTGAGTCTATGGGTCTCTGTGTGAGTCTATGGGGCTGTGCGTGCGTCTATATGTCTCAATGTAAGTCAATGGGTCTCTGTGTGAGTCTATAGGTATATGTGTGAGTCTATGGGTCTCTTTGTGAGTCTATGGGTCTCTGTGTGAGTCTATGGGGCTGTGCGTGCGTCTATATGTCTCAATGTAAGTCAATGGGTATCTGTGTGAGTCTATAGGTCTCTGTGTGAGTCTATGGGTCTCTCAACCGGAGAAGTTCAAGGCTTTAAATCGAAAATTCAAGGTGGTAATATCGACGGCGGATCGGTGTGAACCTCTGGAAGTTTAATATATTCTGCCAGCATTGGCGCAAGCAGTTGCAGGGCTGACCCTTTATCTTTCTTTTGTAAGGACAATGTCCACAAGAGAGCGGCTATAACACGACAAAATCCGGGATAGAATAAATTATGTTAATGAGACAAGGCAGCCAATGGGCGGGCTAACAACCAAAGCCACACTCCCCAAAAAAACTTATTAGGTGGCAAATTCACGCCCAACGTCTCCATATATTGGCCCGTAAATTTACATAATATATAAAAAAAATATTGGCCAGAAATGTACACAATATATGAAAATATTGGTCCGTAAATTAACATAATATATCAAAATATTGGCCCGAGAACATTAACACAAAATATCAAAATATTGGCCCGAGAAAATGTATCTATTATATCAAAATACGGGACTGAGAAAATTAGCACAATGTATAAAAAAAGTATTTGCCCGAGAACATTAACACAAAATATCAAAATATTGCCCCGAGAAAACATAAAATATCAAAATACGAGCCTGAAAAAAAATTACGTTATTTATTATTGATTCTGTCCCTGCATTCATGATCAGTGACCCTGGACAGTCCATGCTGCCATGCGTTCTCTTCGTTTTTTTGGGACATCGATTACAAAATACATAGATCTATACAATTCGTTTACGAGCACAAATAGTGTGGCCTTATACTCAAAAAATATATATTTAGCATCTCCCCCTCTCCCCCCAAACAAAAACTAAATTTACCACGCCGCCCTATCCACACACACTCACGCACACGGTTATACACACACGTGCATAAGTTATATGGGAAGAGGATTGTTTAACACGTAGACTTTCGCGCCTGACGAAGCCGGCTGTAATTACTGTCGAAACGCCGTACTCAGATTGTAAATATTGTGGCTTTACTCTCCAACACACCGGTGTGCTGTACTAGTATACTACACTATACACTACACTATACACTACACTATACACTAGTGCTGTACGAGTGACGAATTGCCACGTTCTGTTTACGTGACAATCCTTACTAGTTGGCCGTGTCGGCATGGTGGCGGGTTTAACGACACGTCTATACATTTATGCGATCTAACCCAAAAAAAGCCTCTATTAGGGAAGTGAATTGGCGCATCAGGAAAGGCTGCGAGTCTACTGCAGTTATTGTAACTCTTGATCACGCACCGAGAAATTACCCAGGTCGTGAATGATCGGCACGGTTGGCTACGTACAGTGCGAAAGAAGTTCATCGTACAGTAAACAGTTCAACACACGTAGGCTTTCGCGACCAATATTATTAATAATAAGGGGTTTTTTTTGGAGGGTCACATCGCTTAAGTATAAATGTGTCATAACCCGTCACCACCCGACACACATTTACATGTTGCGGAGTTACTCTCCAACACACCGGTGGGCTCAAGTAGTAACTCATTGGCACGTTTTGTTTGCGTGGCAAACTTTTACTTGCTGTGTCGGGTGGTGGAGGGTTACTTAAGCAATCTAACCCACACAAACTTTATTATCAATACATCAAAGACAAAGACCCCCCGTATAGCCTGAACAGGCTGTTGGGCAAGTGCCGTTCGCGAGCAGCGCCTAAAGTTATTTAGTTGTTTTTCACCATTTAAATTTGGCATTAAATTCCAGCTCTAAGCATATATACAGCGAATGTGTATTTGTGTTTTACTGGATTGATTCTCGCACGTGCAAATGTGATTTGACAACTGTGAATTTGCAAAGTGTAATTCATCCTCTATCATGTTATACGATTGATTCTCATTCCCCCCCCCCCCCACCAATATTGATTTATCATTCTGGTTGCGTTTATGCGTAAATTGTATTTAAGTACGATTATTTACATACATATCTCTCTCTCTCTGTAACTTCCCCTGTAAATTTCCACCATTGGTCGACGCAAAGATTGGGAGCTTGGACAGCTGCGAAACTGAAACTTCGTAGGTCACTGGATTCTTCTCCCAGCTAACACAAATCGGAATCAGGAAATGTATTTATACCGGAGATTAATCCGATGAGCTATAAAATGAACCCCTTATCAGTGCCCTACCTGATTACAGAGCAATTCAGACCTCATTGGTCACCCCGTGCCCCTTATAAATCTCAACGTTCATCCCACAAAGTCCCATCACAAGGAAGAAACACAGACAAAAAATGTGTTTTTTTTCCCGTACTGAAACAGCTGTACGCCCTATAGACCTGAAAACTAAATTTCCCCGAACAAGAATACGGGGTAAACCGTATGGGTTGACAGCTGTGAAATTATCTTTTTCACAGATGTCCACTCGGGGCGGGTTAGAACGTGACAACAACAACAACGCGTGTCTCAACATGTCCCACCCACGTGTCCGTTGTGTGAGATGCATCTCACACAACGGGACAGTGCTGCCCCCTCCTGTGTACGACAAGTAACAGAGCAAAAACAACATCACTTGGTATCTCAAACGTAGTTCTGTGATAGCTGCTTCTATCGGAGATGGTCATGGCCCACGGGAGACACGGAGTCAAGCCAATCCTTCTGCCAGATATTTCCAAAGCTGCTCTAAAGTCGCCACCACCCTCTACCTCCAGGGGGACCCCCCTCTTGCAGTCTCATCAACAACAACAACACCAGCAACAACAGCCGCCATTCGCCAACTAAGTGCCGGCGACGTCACCACGGCGTCTGTGCCAGGCCAGGTGCGCTTTGAGGCCACGGTGAAGCGTCGAAGGCTCGCGGACAGAAGGTCACGCGACAGACCCCAAGTACCATCGGGGGCCGTCCATAAATGACGTCACGCGATTTTGTACGATTTTTGATCCCCCCCCCCCTCGTCACACGGCGTCACAAAAAGTCAGACCCCCCCCCTCAAATATGACGTCACAAAGCTTTGCCCCCCCCCCCCCAAATAAATACAACATGCTTCAAATCGCTTTAAACTATTGTCATTGTAGTGCGTATTTAATGTGGTGCTGCACTCTGATGTTGTAGGAGAAAACATTTATTAAAAAGTCTATTTAATTAAGTAGAACGTGTTGTCTATATTTATTTAAAGTTGCGCATTTTGATGTGACGTCACATTTCTCAACCCCCCCCCTAGGTGCGTGACGTCATTTATGGACGGTCCCATAGGATGACTGAGATGACTGGCAGAAGCACCACCTGTGCCACCCCCAACTGTGCCAACTTGCTGCATTTTAGCTGCCCGGCGCTACGCTCGTTGTTGGTGATGATGCTGGTGGTGATGGAGTCTCATCAAAGACAAATATCCCCCGTATAGCCTTAACAGACTGTTGGGGCAAGTGCTGTTAGCGAGTAGCACTAATGAAGGCCGCCGGCACGGCACACGAGGGGGTAGGTGGCCGGCACCACGCCCTACCGCCTTTGTCTCCCCTAGTGGCGAAGTTTACACACCGCACCAGGTACTCATTTGAGGCCGAGTCGACCTAAGGGATAGATTAGATATTCGTCACCGGTGTTGGCCGTGAGCTGGGAATCGAAGTCGGGTCGCCGGGCTCGTAGCGCAGCGCGGTCACCGCTCCCGCACCACCAGCACCACCACCAGCACCACCAGCACCACCACCAGCACCACCAGCACCACCACCACCAGCACCACCACCAGCACCACCACCAGCACCACCACCAGCACCACCAGCACCACCACCACCAGCACCACCAGCACCACCACCACCAGCACCACCACCAGCACCACCAGCACCACCACCACCAGCACCACCACCAGCACCACCACCAGCACCACCAGCACCACCACCACCAGCACCACCAGCACCACCAGCACCAGCACCACCAGCACCACCACCACCAGCACCACCACCAGCACCACCAGCACCACTAGCACCACCACCAGCACCACCACCAGCACCACCAGCACCACCAGCACCACCACCAGCACCACCAGCACCACCAGCACCACCACCAGCACCACCACCAGCACCACCAGCACTACCACCAGCACCACCAGCACCACCACTGCCACCACAACTACCACCTGGCCATGGGACCTTTGTGTCTCCACACTACAACTGCGGTGTAGAAATTATTCAGTGACAGTGCATTGGCAGTGGTTCGCAGGCACAAACAACCCAACACACAACCTAGGAGGGGTCTGTAGGGGGTCTATGGGGGTCTGTAGGGGTCTGGGGGTGTGTAGGGGTCTGGGGATGTGTAGGGTCTAGTGGTCTGTAGGGCTCTTTGGGGGGTCTGTAGGGGTCTATGGGGGTCTGTAGGGGTCTGGGGATGTGTAGGGGTCTAGTGGTCTGTAGGGCTCTATGGGGGTCTGTAGGGGTCTGGGGATGTGTAGGGGTTTAGTGGTCTGTAGGGCTCTATGGGGGTCTGTAGGGGTCTGGGGATGTGTAGGGGTCTAATGGTCTGTAGGGCTCTATGGGGGTCTTTAGGGGTGTGTGGGGTATGGGGGTCTGCAGGGCTCTACCGGGGTCTGTAGGGGGTCTATGGGGGTCTGTAGGGGGTCTATGGGGGTCTGTAGGGGGTCTATGTTCCGGAGAGGGGTGTGCCGGGGTCGATGGCGCGGTACAGAGCGATGAAGGATGACGTCTGTTTGCTGAGCCGGCCGTGGAACTCGATCTCCGCTCGACTGCCGGAAGATTTCCACACGAGGGGCCTGGGCCCACACACGGGGACGGCCTTCAGCGTCTCCATGTCCCTCACCTGTGAGTGCACAAGACAAAGATCCCCCGTGTAGCCTCAACAGGCTGCTGGGGCAAGTGCCGTTCGCGAGCAGCGCCTATGAAGGCTGGCACAGCGCACTCTGCTAAACTATTTTCTATTTAACCAGGTGAGGCCCCACTGAACCGTGTAGCTCTTGTTCAGAAGCGACCCTGGCCACAAAATGATAGCTCAACGACAGTGGCTCATCATCATCAATCATCATCATCATCACCATCATCACCACCACGGTGGAAATTGATAGCAGTGAAAAAACGCGTGACGTTGATTATAAAACTGGGGTGAAAAACCGGAGAACCCCCGAGAAAAATCCACATGGCCACGGCAAGAGAGACACGCAAACTCTAATTATACAGCAGGCATCAGGATCAAACCCACGACCTCCTGTACACCAGGCGAGGTAGTTAACATCTCCTAGCCACCATGATGATGAGAGAGAGAGAGACACGCAAACTCCAAATATACAGCAGCAGGCGTCAAGGTCGGGATCGAACCCACGACCTCCTGTATACCAGGCGAGGTAGTTAACACCTCCTAGCCACCGTGATGATGATGAGAGAGAGATACGCAAACTCCAAATATACAGCAGGCATCAGGGTCGGGGATCGAACCCACGACCTCCTGTATACCAAGCGAGGTAGTTAACACCTCCTAGCCACCGTGATGAAGATGAGAGAGACACAAACTCCAAATCTATAGCAGGCATGGTCAGGGTCGGGATCGAACCCACGACGTCCCAGGCGAGGTAGTTAACATCTCCTAGCCACCGTGATGAAGATGAGAGAGAGACGCAAACTCCAAATATACAGCAGCAGGCGTCAGGGTCGGGGATCGAACCCACGACCTCCTGCACACCAGGCGAGGTAGTCAACATCTCCTAGCCACCGCGGGGACGTACCACGACTTGGCCGTCGCACGGCCCGTCCTGCTCCCCTCCCCGTCCCCCGCCGCTCGTGAGCATCGCCCGCAGCACGATGCGCCGCTGTGGCGGCACGTTGATGTACGCGCGGCACGGCTGCGTGGCCGCTCCGCCCACCGTGGCCTGCGGGGCGCCGATCCTGCCCTTGGTGCCCGTCAGCTGCACGTCGCATTCTGTGGCGGTGGGGGGGGGTGGGGGTGGGGGGGGGGGTGGGGTCGGGGGGTTGTTTGTGTTGGTGGTGGGGGGGGGGGGTAGGGAAGAGAATGGGCACGGGAGAAGAGGAGAAGTTTGGCCCTGGCGGTCACGGAGGGGCGCCGCTTCGTGCCGGCACCGCGAGTCGCCCCCCCCCCCCCCCCCCACCGAGCGCCGTCCCCACCTCGGTGCTGCGGCCGCCGCGCCCGCCGGGCGGCGAAGGCCACGCGCAGGCCCCGGCGCCCGCCGGCGGCGCGCAGGCGCACGACGAGGTTGTTGGTGCGCGACGAGAGCGTCGTGTTGCGCGAGCCCTCGCAGAAGCGCCGCCACGACAGTCGCTCCAGCACCATCGCGTAGTCGCCTGCCGACGGGCGGCCCGGCGGTTTTCCGGCGCCGTCCGTCCGGTCCGGGTCGGGTCGGCCGGGGTCGGGAATCACGTGGGCGGGGAAGGGGCGGGGGTGGGTGGGGGAGTCGGTGGTGGGGGGGGGGGGGGAGGTCAGAGAGGAGCCGGGGGGTCACAGGGCATTCGTTCATTTCATTCATCGGGCATAGTGCAGCGAAGGACCGTTGCGCCAAACGTGTGACCTCCTGCGACGGCGTTCACGTAAACCGCTCTCGCCGCCGGACACCGGCGTCTCGAGTGATTTGTTCGATGTCATCCGTCGTATCACGAGGGGGGTGGGTGGACAACACCACGCCCGGCCGCCGTCGTCTCCCCAGTGGGAATGATTTTACGCACCGCGCCAGGTACTCATTTGAGGCCGAGTCGACCTAGGGGAGGCCCAGGACCTATTCAGATAATCGTCGCTGGTGTTGACCGCGAGCGGGAATCGAACTCGGGTGGCCGGGTTCGTAGCGCAGCGCGCTGACCGCTGCACCACCGCTCCCCATGCACTCACGCACTCACGTACGCACGCACTCACGCACGCACTCACGCACTCACTCACGCACTCGCCCACGCACTCACGCACTCACGCACTCACTCACTCACGCACTCACTCACGCACTCGCTCACGCACTCACGCACTCACGCACTCACTCACTCACGCACTCACACACGCACTAACTCAAGGAATTACTCACGCACTCAAGCACTCACTCACGCACTCACGCACGCACTCACGCACGCATACACGTACGCACTCATTCACTCACGCACTCACTCACTCACGCACACACTCACTCATGCCCGCACGCACTCACGTACTTACTCACGCACGCACTCACGCACTCACTCACGCACTCACACACGTACGCACACACGCACGCACTCATTCACTCACGCACTCACTCACGCACTCACGCACTCACTCACGCACTCACACACGTACGCACACACGCACGCACTCATTCACTCACGCACGCACTCACGTACTAACTCACGCACTCACTCACGCACTCACGCACTCACTCACGCACTCACACACGCACTCACTCACGCATTCACTCACTCACTCACGCACGCACTCACTCACTCGCGCACTCACGCACGCACTCACGCACGCACTTATTCACACACTCACGCACTCACACGCGCACACTCACCGGCGCTGCACTCCATGTTGTGCTGCAGCACGTGCACGGACACGACCTCGCCGAGCGGGCGAGCAAAAGCCACACTGCAGTCCACCCCTGGGCGAGCGTCGAGGCGCACGACGCCCGCGGGCGCCGTCACCTGCAGCCCGCACGACGCTACGGGCGGCGGACAGAGGATGCACGGTAACGCAGCTACAGCAGCAACGGCATCAGCAGCAGCGACAGCAGCAACAGCAGCAGCAGCAGCAAAAACAGCAGCCACCGTTCGCCACAAAGTGGCGGTGACGACGCCGTGCAGCTCCTGCCAGGCTGGGTGCACTTTGAGTGCCATCGCGAGAAGAAGTGGCTGGGTAGGAGGTCCCGGAACAGACCCAATGTCAAGACTTAACTGACTGAGAAGATGCACGCATGGACGCACGCATGGACACACACGGTAATACACGCACACTGGCAAAGATAAAGATCTCCCGCCTGAACAGACTGTTGGGGCAAGTGCTGTTAGCCAGCAACAATGAAGGCCCACACGAGGCGGTGACGTGACCAACACCACGCCTGGCCGCCTTTGTCTCCCCAGTGGTGATGCTTACTACACGCCACACCGGGTGCTCGTTTTTAGGGATGAGTCCATGACCGGTTCAGATATTCGCCACTGTTGTAGGCCGTGAGCGGGAATCGAACTCGGGTTGGCCACGTTTGTAGGCTGGGTGCGCTGAACACTTCACAACCGCTCCCCACAGAGTACACGTGGATACGCTACACGATTTTATTTTATTTTTCCTAGGTAAGGGGCCGTCCACAAATTACGTCACGCGATTTTGGACGATTTTTGATCCCCTCCCCCTCTCGTCACACGGCGTCACAAAAAGTCAGACCCCCCCCCCAAAAAAAAAACATGCTTCAAATCGCTTTAAACTATTGTCATTGTGATGCGTATTTAATGTGGCGCTGCACTCTGATGTTGTAGGAGAAAACATTTATTAAAAAAATCTATTTAATTAAGTAGAACGTGTTGTCTATATTTATTTAAAGTTGCGCATTTTGATGTGACGTCACATTTCTCAAACCCCCCCCACTCGTCACACATCGTCACAAATGTCTGACCCCCCCCCCCTCCCACCATCTAGTAACGTGACGTTATTTATGGACGGCCATTGAGCTACGTAGCTATTTGTTTAGAAGAGACCTGACCACAAATGATCGCTCATCGAAGTGGCTTGTCACGTGGAAATGAATTGCAGCCGAATACTCTGAACGCGTGACGTTGATTCTAAATATGGAGGGGAAAACCGGAGGAACCCAGAGAAAAATCCACACGGCCACGGGGAGAGAGACACGCAAACTTCAAGTATACAGCAGCAGCAGCAGCAGGCGTCAGGGTCAGGATCGAACCCACGACCACCTGTACATCAGGCGAGGTAGTTAACATCTCCTAGCCACCGTGATGATGATGAGAGAGAAAAAGAGCAACCGCAAACTCCCAATATACAGCAGGGGTCAGGGTCAGGATCGAACCCACGACCTCCTGTATACCAGGCGAGGTAGTTAACATCTCGCCACAATGGCAATCGGCACACCACATCCAGTATATCTACCTCTCACTGCGATTATGACAATGGCGTGATGATGACAATGATGATGACGATGATGATGATGACGATGATGATGACGATGGCGATGATGCCATGCCCTCACCGGGCAGTTGTGGAGCCATAGAGGAGGTGGAGAAAGAGGGGGCTGACGAGGAGGCTGACGAGGAGGAGGAGGAGGAGGAAGGGGTGGTGGGAGTTGAGAATTCTGTCGAGGGTGCCGCGTCATGCGCAGCTTGGGTCGTGACCAGAGGGGTCTTGGTGGTCGGGGTCACGGGGGGGGCGGAGGTCACCGGGGAAGGGGTCGTGGAACCCCCCTGACCCCCGCGTGACCCCTGACTCGCAGCTCCGAAAGAAGACGTTCCCGCAGCGAGCGATGACGACGACGTTGACGATGACGTTGACGACGTTGACGACGACGATGACGAGGACGTTGACGACGACGATGTTGACGACGACGATGTTGACGACGACGATGACGACGTAAAACCATCATCACCATCGCCGTCGCTCGCTGGCGCTTTCGCGGTGACCCTGTGGGTCGACGAGGGAGCGCGAGGTCAAAGTTTGCGTCCGGCTCCAGCGAACGCGGGGGGGGAGGGGGGGGGGCGATACGCGTTCCTATCGTGCGTCGTTGTACGTGTGTCGATCCACTGCTGGATGAAGGCGTTGCAGGTTGTGGGGGTCGTTTGACCATACTTCACCATTCCGGTTGAGTGCGTGTTGAAGGGCGATTGTGGCTGGAGGGCGCACGTGTGTCTACGCGAACTGCTACGAAGACAAAGGTACCCCGTGTAGCCGAAACGGACTTTTCGCGCAAGCGCTGTTAGCGAGTAGCACCTATGGAAGACGGCACGCTCCCGTGGACACACACACAGACGTACACGCACACATGCGGACGCACACAGACACGCACACGGACAAGACAAAGAGACACATACACGCGGACACACGTGGACACGCGCACACGGAAACACACGGATGCACACACGCACGCGCGGAGACACACACACAGACACGGACACACGCGGACACGCGCGGACACACGCGGACACACGCGTCCCTCACTCGTGCGGCGGGGCAGGGCAGGGCTCCAGGCTCCGGCTGCACGGCACGGTCCGCTCCAAAGGCCGGGGCCCGCCCAGGAGGCAACGCTCGGGCGGCACCTCGGAGCCCAGCGAGGGGTCGACGCACACGTGCAGCGCCCGCGTCGTCCCTGCACGCACGGCGCCACCGCCCACAACATCACGGTCAACCGCCCCGACGACCGCTCTGCCCGCATCAGAGCCAGCGCTTGCGCCTCTAGACGCATGCGTGTGTGTGTGCGTGCGTGCGTGTGTGCGTGCGTGTGTGCGTGCGTGCGTGTGTGCGTGCGTGTGTGCGTGCGTGTGTGCGTGCGTGCGTGTGTGCGTGCGTGTGTGCGTGCGTGCGTGCGTGTGTGCGTTCGAGCGGCGGCGTAGAGGTCAGCGCCGCGCTACGACCCCGGCGACCGCCGAGTTCGATTCACGCTCGCGGCCAACACCCAGTGGCGATTATCTACACTTGTCGTGGGCCTCCCCTAGGTCGACTCAGCCTAAAATAAGTACTTGGTGCGGTGTGTAAACATCGCCACGAGGGAGACAAAGGCGGTCGGGCGTGGTGCTGGTCACCCATCCCCTCGTGTGCCGAGCTGGCCTTCGTAGGCGCTCGCTAACAGCGCATGCCTCAACAGTCTGTTCAGGCTATACGGGGGATCTTTGTCTTTGTGTATAATACAGAAAAACAAAACTAGTTTAGGATTTGAGATATATAGCTCTTTTTGAGAAGCGACTTGCCACAATTAATAGTTCAACGAAGTGCAGCCAAATGTTTTTAAATGTGGAGGGGAAAAAAACCGACCCGAAGAAAAATCCACGCGACCACGGGGGGAGAGAGAGAGACACGCAAACTCCAAATATACAGCTGACGTCAGGGTCAGGGATCGAACCCACGAGCTCCTGCACACCAGGCGAGGTAGTTAACATCTCCTAGCCACCGTGATGATGATGAGAGAGAGAGAGACACGCAAACTCCAAAAATACAGCAGCAGGAGTCAGGGTCGGCGAATCGAACCCACGACCTCCTGCACACGAGGCGAGGTAGTTAACATCTCCTAGCCACCGTGATGATGATGAGAGAGAGAGAGACACGCAAACTCCAAAAATACAGCAGCAGGAGTCAGGGTCGGCGAATCGAACCCACGACCTCCTGCACACCAGGCGAGGTAGTTAACATCTCCTAGCCACCGTAATGATGATGATGAGAGAGAGAGAGAGACACGCAAACTCCAAAAATACAGCAGGCGTCAGGGTCGGGGATCGAACCCACGACCTCCTGCACACGTCCCAAGGCGGGGCTCGAGCCCTGCGTCGCTGGCGGCTGGCGACACGCGGCTGGCTCATCCCGAGGGGCGGCGCCTTCCGCGCCCCTTCGCGACGATCGACGAGTCGGTGACGGTGAGCGGCGGGCGGGCGGGCGGGCGGGCGGGCGGGCGCCTCGTTGCCGTAGCGACCAGGCTAGGCCGCCGCCGCTGTCTCACCTGTGCCGCAGGTGTGGGAGCACGGCGCCCGCCGCTCCTCCCACTGGTAGAGCGGCTGCCCGTGGGGCAGGTGGAAGGAGAAGACGATGTCGGGGTCGGCGGCGCGGCCGTACTCGCGCCCGTAGCGCCGGTACACCTGCGGCCGCGGCGGGCACGGACGCAAGGGGGAGGGGGGGGGGGCAGGGGTAGGGGCGGGGAGGGGTGGGGGGGGGTGGACAAGCACCACCTATGAAGGCCGGTGTCTCGTAGGACACATTTCCTCTACCCCCACCTTGTGAATATTTGTTTAGCCTGAGCAGACTGTTGGGGCAAGTGCTGTTAGCGAGCACCTACGAAGGCCGGAACGGCACACGATGGGGGTGGGTGGCCAGCAACCACGCCCGACCGCCTTTGTCTCCCCAGTGGCGATGTTTACCACACACCGCACCAGGCACTCGTTTGAGGCTGAGTCGACCTACGGGAAGGCCCAGGGCAGATTCAGATAATCGTCACTGGTGTTGGTGTGGTCGGCCATGTGCTGGAATCGAATTCATGGCGCACCGCTCGCAACACACACAAAGATCCCCGCCCCCGTATAGCCTTAACAGACTGTTGGGGCAAGTGCCGTTAGCTCACACCCATGGCTCGCACCCAGACACACAACGTCTCTGGACAGCAGCGTGACGTGAGCAGCGCCACCCAGCACACACCAACTCTGCGCGTGTCCCACGCAGTCCTCCTCCACCCCCCCCCCCACCACCAACCCCCGCACCTGCACGTGCGTGGGCTGAGTGACGGGTCCCGGGATGGAGAGTCGCTCCGTGCGCGGGATCTTGAGCTCGGTGAGGTAGAGGCGGTAGGTGAGCCGCTCGTCCTCCAGCGCCGAGGGCGCCGACACGTTGGTGGACACCGAGCCGCGCCCGGCCACCACCGGCACGCGGCCCACCAGCAGCGCTACCGGAGACACCGGCGTGAGCGACGGCAGCCGGCGAGCACGCGAGCATCCGCCCGGGTTAGCCGTGCGAGCGACTCCGTGAGCGATCGAAATGAGCAACCGCGCGAGTGACCGAAAAATGTATTCCGTTGCATTTCCCCATCATCGTCATCATCATCGTCGTCGTCATCGTTCGTCGTCATCGTCGTCAGCCACGGTCGTCAGCCACGGTCTATCCGCTGCCGGATGGAGGCGTCCCAAATCCGCCACCATTGATCGCGACCCTGCGATTGTGACAATCCACCGAGCACGCACGCACGCTCCGATTTAATTGCTCCGTTCTCCTCGGTGGACGGGGCCTCTCGGGCGCGCACACTCACCACTGCGCCGCCACTCCTCGCTACACAAAGACAAAGATCTCCCGTGCAGCCTTTGACAGGTCCGTCGGGGGGCAAGTGCTGTGAGCGGGGGGAGCAGCACCTGTAAACACGCACGCACTCACCCAGGTGTGTGTAGGCTGAGCGGGTGTTCGAGACGTGCACAGAGGTGGCGTTTAGGGGCACGCGCAGGAATGTGACGTACTCTGCACACGTAGACAAAGACAAAGATCCCCCCCGTATAGCAAGCGCTGTTTGCGAGCACCTATAAAGGCCGGCACGGCACACGAGGGGGTGGGTGGCCAGCACCACGTCCGGTCGCCTTTGTCTCCCCAGTGGCGATGTTTACACATCGTACCAGGTACTCATTTGAGGCTGAGTCGACTTAGGGGAGGCCCAGGACAAGTTCAGATAATCGTCACTGGGTGTCGGTGTTGTCGGCCATGTGCGGGAATCGAACTTGGTTTGCTGGGTTCACAGCGCATTGTTCACACACAAAACAAAGACAAAGGTCCCCCGTATCACCTAAACAGACTATTGGGGAAAATGCTGTTAGCGAGTACCTATGAATGCTGGCATGGCACACGAGGGATGGGTGGCCAGCACCACGCCCAGCCGCCTTTGTCTCCCTGGTGGCGATGTTTTATGCACTGCACCAGGTACTCATTTGAGGCTGAGTCGACCTCGGGGAGGCCTAAGACCAGAACTCAGGTCGCCAGATTCATAGTGCAGTGCGCTAACCACTGCACCACCGCTCCCCACAACGCACACACACGGTACAAATATAACACAGCAATGAGCGCTTATGAGCAGGTGGTGATGATGCTGCTGCTACTGTTGCAGCTGTTGGTGATGATGCTTCTACTTCTGCTGCTGATGATGGTAATGATGATGACATTGGTTCAAGATGATGACACTGTTCACAATGATGATACAGTTGCTGATGATGATGATGACCATAATGATGATGAGATTGTTCATAACGATTTTCTTGTTTTTGCTGCTGATAATAATGATGATGATGATCATCATGACATCATTACGTTGCTACTGCAGCCAAATATAACAACTGCTGCTGCTACTGTGACCACCGCTATGACGACTACGATGAAAAACCGATGGTGCGCGTCCCATCCTCACTCTTGGCCTCCCCGCCGTGGAATGTCCCGTTGATGCGGTAGCAGGAGGAGCCGTCCCCTCCGCAGGTCCCGCACGCGTCCACGAGGACTCCCGAGCCCAGCACGCCGTCGCAGCCAAACTCCTGCGCGGACATGAAGGCAATGGTCCTCCGTGTGGCCTCGACAGGCCGTTGGGACGGAGCCTCGACAGACCGTTGGGGCAGGCGCTGTTAGTGAGCACCTATGAAGGCCGGCACGGCCAACGCCGCGTCCGGCCGCCTTAAAGACAAACGTCTCCTTCACAGGAGCCGCCGCCGCCACCGCCACCGCGCCGTGTTGCCTACGCAGACCGTTGGCGCAAGCTGCCGTGAGCGAGCAGAGCGCCGATGAAGGCTGGCAAGGGGTGCGCGAGGATGCGGCGTGCACGGCACCGCGCCCGGGCTGCAATTTGTCTCCCCGGTGAGATGAAAGGTGGCCGCGAGTGGGTGTAGACATGAGTGGGCGCGTGCCAATGTCAGCCGGGCGTATGCCAGTGTGAGTACTGTACTATCGTTTTTAATTTTACCAGGTAAGGCTCACTGAGCTACATAGCTTTTTTTCAGAGGCGACCTGGCCACAACCGATAGCTCAACGATGTGGGTCATCATGTGGACATTTATAGCGGCCAAACACCCTGAACGCGCGACGTTGATTCTAAATGTGGAGGGGAAAACCGGAATGACCCGGAGAAAAATCTACGCGACCACGGGGAGAGAGAGAGAGAGAGAAACACGCAAACTCCAAATATACAGCAGGAGTCAGGGTCGGGATCGAACCCACGACCTCCTGTAGACCAGGCGAGGGAGTTAACATCTCCTAGCCACCGCGGCGCCCCACAAAGCGGGCGGCGTGTGCCAGTGTGGGTGGGTGAGAGTGCCCCAGTGCGAGCGGGCGTGTGCGCAAGCGGCGTGGGTGAGTGGGAGGGCATCGCCTTGCCTGGCACCGCCCCGACACGCACAGCCCCAGGGCCGGCTCCTTCGGGTGCTCACAGCGAGTCCCGTCCACAAACGCCGCCCCCCTCGACACTCGCAGACTCCTGCCCACGGTCTCGCAGCGGTACTGGCAGCGCCAGTCTCCTACAGGCGGCGTCAGGGATACAGCGACGAGGGGAGGGTGGGGGGGGGGGAGACGTGGCGAGAGCGGGTTGGGTGCGCGTGTGTTGAGCGAGGTCAGATTAAGTTTGATGAAGGGGGGGGGGGCACGGGGCTGTTATAGAATTGGGGGGGGGGGGACCCCCTATTTGGATAATTTCCAATTCCTCCCCTTGACTCTTTTACCACCACCCATGCCTGAGGATGCCAAACTGTATTTCTGACATGTACAGTGAGGGAAAAAAGTATTTGATCCCCTGCTGATTTTGTACGTTTGCCCACTGACAAAGAAATGATCAGTCTATAATTTTAATGATAGGTTTATTTGAACAGTGAGAGACAGAAAAACAACAACAAAATCCAGAAAAACGCATATCAAAAATGTTATAAATTTATTTGCATTTTAATGAGGGAAATAAGTATTTGACCCCTCTGCAAAACATGACTTAGTACTTGGTGGCAAAACCCTTGTTGGCAATCACAGAGGTCAGACGTTTCTTGTAGTTGGCCACCAGGTTTGCACACAACTCAGGAGGGATTTTGTCCCACTCCTCTTTGCAGATCTTCTCCAAGTCATTAAGGTTTCGAGGCTGACGTTTGCCAACTCGAACCTTCAGCTCCCTCCACAGATTTTCTATGGGATTAAGGTCTGGAGACTGGCTAGGCCACTCCAGGACCTTAATGTGCTTCTTCTTGAGCCACTCCTTTGTTGCCTTGGTCGTGTGTTTGGGTCATTGTCATGCTGGAATACCCATCCACGAACCATTTTCAATGCCCTGGCTGAGAGAAGGAGGTTCTCACCCAAGAATTGACGGTACATGGCCCCGTCCATCGTCCCTTTTATGCGGTGAAGTTGTCCTGTCCCCTTAGCAGAAAAACACCCCAAAGCATAATGTTTCCACCTCCATGTTTGACGGTGGGGATGGTGTTCTTGGGGTCATAGGCAGCATTCCTCCTCCTCCAAATACGGCGAGTTGAGTTGATGCCAAAGAGCTCCATTTTGGTCTCATCTGACCACAACACTTTCACCCAGTTGTCCTCTGAATCATTCAGATGTTAATTGGCAAACTTCAGACGGGCAAGTATATGTGCTTTCTTGAGCAGGGGGACCTTGCGGGCGCTGCAGGATTTCAGTCCTTCGCTGTGTAGTGTGTTACTAATTGTTTTCTTGGTGACTATGGTGCCAGCTGCCTTGAGATCATTGACAAGATCCTCCCGTGTAGTTCTGGGCTGATTCCTCACCGTTCTCATGATCATTGCAACTCCACAAGGTGAAATCTTGCATGGAGCCCCAGGCCGAGGGAGATTGACAGTTCTTTCGTGTTTCTTCCATTTGCGAATAATCGCACCAAGTGTTGTCACCTTCTCACCAAGCTGCTTGGCAATGGTCTTGTAGCCCATTCCAGCCTTGTGTAGGTCTACAATCTTGTCTCTGACATCCTTGGAGAGCTTTTTGGTCTTGGCCATGGTGGAGAGTTTGGAATCTGATTGATTGATTGCTTCTGTGGACAGGTGTCTTTATTACAGGGAACAAGCTGAGATTAGGAGCACTCCCTTTAAGAGTGTGCTCCTAATATTATCTTGTTACCTGTATAAAAGACACCTGGGAGCCAGAAATCTTTCTGATTGAGAGGGGGTCAAATACTTATTTCCCTCATTAAAATGCAAATCAATTTATAACATTTTTGACATGCTTTTTTCTGGATTTTGTTGTTGTTATTCTGTCTCTCACTGTTCAAATAAACCTACCATTAAAATTATAGACTGATCATTGCTTTGTCAGTGGGCAAATGTACAAAATCAGCAGGGGATCAAATACTTTTTTCCCTCACTGTAACGTATGCATCGCAAAAAGCCAAAAATTTACAAAACGGGTTTCACTATTTTTTTTTTAGCACATAACTGGTATCAATATAAACACAGTGATTCCTTGGCTTTATCAATCACATTATACTCGAGGATTCATCATTACGCTACACGACTGCATTTCACCCGTTATCAAATGCTGTGCATAATAGGGTTTTTTCGGAGATGATAATTGGTCGCGAAAGCCTACGTGTTCAAATGCTGTACGTTAATATGACAATATAATATGACAAATATAATATTACAATATACACTGCCGATTTTGTCAAGGAGTATAGACCAGCACGCGAACTCTGGTCGTCATCCTCGCAGCAGTAGCGGCGGCGGCTTTTGGCGAACCGTCGAACAGAGACGGTGTCTCACCGCATCGCGCGACGGCGCCTTCAGATGCGCTTCTGCGGCCGTCTGGAACGCTCTTTCCTACCGATGTTAGGAAGCCACTGGGAGCTGTGCGCTTTTAAATCATCAAAATTAAAAACTGATTTCTTTAGAACTGCTTCTTGTACTTAGTTTGTTGTCCTTCCCCCAGCGCATCCGAGAGACCCATAGACTCACACAGAGAGCCACAGACTCACACAGAGACCCATAGACTCACACAGAGACACATAGACTCACACAGAGACCCATAGGCTCACACAGAGACCCATAAACTCACACAGAGACCCATAGACTCACACAGAGAGACACAGACTCGCACAGAGAGCCACAGACTCACACAGAGACCCATAGACTCGCACAGAGACCCATAGACTCACATAGAGACCCATAGACTCACACATACATACATATACTCACATTGAGGCCCATAGACTCACACAGAGAGCCACAGACTCACACAGAGACCCATAGACTCGCACAGAGACCCATAAACTCACATAGAGACCCATAGACTCACATATAAACCCATAGACTCACACAGAGACCCATAGACTCACAAAGAGACCTATAGACTCGCACAGAGAGCCACAGAGTCACACAGAGACCCATAGACTCACATAGAGACCCATAGAATCACACAGAGACCCATAGACTCACACAGAGACCCATAGGCTCACACAGAGACCCATAGACTCGCACAGAGACCCATAGACTCGCACAGAGAGCCACAGACTCACACAGAGACCCATAGACTCACACAGAGACCCATAGACTCGCACAGAGACCCATAGACTCGCACAGAGACCCATAGACTCACACAGAGACCCATAGACTCGCACAGAGACCCATAGACTCGTACAGAGACCCATAGACTCGCACAGAGACCCATAGACTCACACAGAGACCCATAGACTCATACAGAGACCCGCATCTCCGATTAGCACGGTTGGCTATGTACGGTGAGAAAGAAGTTCAACATACAGACACACGTACATATTATTTTATGTGGAAGGCTCTCAAAATCCGAGCCCTGTGAGGCGGTGGTGGCTATGCGCGTGTCCTGTAATCCAGCGCTGTGAGCGTCAAGAAGTTGCCCGTAACCTGGGCTCGCCAGGAGAAGGTGCTACAGCAAGTAAACTAGTCGCCATCCGTTTCTTCAGCACTATGGGGATAGAGCATTGCACCCTCGCGCATAAGCGTGGGTTTTCTTTGGAACGCTCCGGTTTCCTCCCATTTGTATAATAAACAAAACTTGTCGTTAATCGGCTGGTTGTGAGCCTCGCTCATCCGCCCTCCATTGTTGCTGCCTCCAACTGCCCAGCAGCGTCGTTTCGCAAGCCTCCTCCTCCTCCTTCACAGAGGCTGGATCTTAACACCGCCGGTACCGGTCATTGACAAGTCCACTCAGCTCCATCACCCACTCACCCACTCGTTGCACTCACCACCCACACGCTCCATTGACCCAGGTCACTCTTCGCAAATGCGACTTCCTCTCTCCTGGCCTCTTGAGTCGACACGCGGCCACACAAAATAAACCCCCAACTTGAAACAGCTATCGCCACCGCCGCTGAAACTGCTGCCTCAGCCGGTACTGCCAGTGCCCGCACGGCGCCCGTACGTACCTCGCACCATGGTGGGCGCCCACGCGTGGTAGCGCAGCGCCGAGCGGGTCCCCGCCGCCGCCGCTGCCGCCGCCGCCGCCGCCGCCGCGGTGGTGGTGGACGGCTCAGCGCTGGCGTTGCTGCACTGCTCCACGGCGAAGGTGAACTGCGACGAGGAGGCACACGGCTGCGGGAACGGGGGGGGGGGGGGGGGGGGGGGGGGGGGATAGCGATTGTCGTCGTAGTTAGCGGAGGAGCAGCACGAGGAGCATGAGGAGCAGGAGAAGCAAGAGGAGCAGAAGCAGGAGCACGAGGAGGAGCACCAGGAGGAGCAGGAGGAGCACGAGGAGCACGAGGAGGAGCAGGAGGAGCACGAGGAGCATGAGGAGCAGGAGAAGCAAGAGGAGCAGAAGCAGGAGCACCAGGAGGAGCACCAGGAGGAGCAGGAGGAGCAGGAGGAGGAGCATGAGGAGCAGGAGAAGCAAGAGGAGCAGAAGCAGGAGCACGAGGAGGAGCACCAGGAGGAGCAGGAGGAGCACGAGGAGGAGCAGGAGGAGGAGCACGAGGAGCATGAGGAGCAGGAGAAGCAAGAGGAGCAGAAGCAGGAGCACGAGGAGGAGCACCAGGAGGAGCAGGAGGAGGAGCAAGAGGAGGAGCACGAGGAGCAGGAGGAGCAGGAGAAGCAAGAGGAGCAGAAGCAGGAGCACGAGGAGGAGCACCAGGAGGAGCAGGAGGAGGAGCACGAGGAGGAGCAGGAGGAGGAGCACGAGGAGCAGGAGGAGCAGGAGAAGCAAGAGGAGCAGAAGCAGGAGCACGAGGAGGAGCACCAGGAGGAGCAGGAGGAGGAGCACGAGGAGGAGCAGGAGGAGGAGCACGAGGAGCAGGAGGAGCAGGAGAAGCAAGAGGAGCAGAAGCAGGAGCACGAGGAGGAGCACCAGGAGGAGGAGCACGAGGATCTGGAGGAGCAGCATGAGGAGCAGGGGTCTAGAGCTAACAGGGCTTAGCTCCGATATATCGAACAAGTTGTTGCAGGAGCTTCCCTGCGTTCCACCGATAGTTGCCTAAGTTTCTATTCACCGACGACGACGATGGCGATAATATTTAAACCCCCAAAAAATGGCCTGCGCAGTAAAAACCTCCGGAAGGCAGGCTCGGGATGCAAGGGAGCGCAAGGTCGCCGGCGACTGAGAGCGGAGCGCGTCTGGGTGGACTGCGACGCGACCGGTGAAGCTCACACCGCACGTGGACTTTGCCGAGTCGCCTCGCGTCCGAGCGGCGAGAGCGTACGTATGTCGAACTTCTATCGTACCGTACGTCGCCCAACGTGCTCATCGGAGATGCCGGGGGGGCGAGGGCAATGAACTAAGCACAAAAAAGCAGTGCTAAGGAAATGAGTTTTCAACGTAGTATAGTGGTGTAGTGCCTATAAGCGTAGTGTATGGCAGTGTAGTGTATAGCGTAGTGTGTAGTAGTGTATCGTGTGTGGTTTATAGTGTAGTGTATAGTCGTGTAGTATTTAGTGTAGTGTGTAGTAGTGTAGTGTATAGTGTGTAGTGTATAGTATAGTGTATGGTAGTCTAGTGTATAGTATAGTGTATGGTAGTGTAGTGTATAGTGTGTGGTGTATAGTGTACTGTATAGTAGTGTAGTATATATTGTAATGTGTAGTAGTGTAGTGTATAGTGTGTAGTGTATAGTATAGTGTATGCTAGTGTAATGTATAGTGTGGTATATAGTGTGGTGTATAGTGTAGTGTATAGTGTCCTGCAAAGTGCACTGTATAGTAGTGTAGTATATATTGTCGTGTGTTGTAGTTTAGTGTATAGTGTGCAGCGTATAGTGTACTGTATAGTAGTGATGTATAGTGTAGTATGTAGTAGTGTAATGCATAGTGTGCAATATAGTGTAGTGTATAGTGTATGGTAGTGTAGTATGTGTAGTATATTAGCGCCGTCTGTTGTCCAGCAACGGCAACTGCGGTGGACGATGAGTATATACGCGGTGTGTGTGTCGGCAGGGCGGAGGAACTGGGGCAAGGGTCACGGAAGACTCCATCTGGAAGCCCCTGGAACCCGCTCGTGGGTTCGAGAAGGGAGGCGCAGCCAGGGCGGAGCCAGGCCGCGTCGTGTAACATAAAAGCAGCGGACAGCGGGAGCTCGGGGCTGCCGGTTCTGGGAAGTGGACTCGTCTCGTCGTCGCTGTCGCCTTCGCTAGATATTGCGCGGCCGGATAGTTGTTGGCTGTCTCGGTCGGCGTCGTCGGTGCTACACGGTCAGGGTCGTGTTAAGGGCTGGGCCGGGCGACTAAGGAGATCGCGAGGACGAACCTGTGAACCCGAAGGTGTTAATCAAGAAGGTGCTCCTGAAAAACCTTGCCTCCCGCTCCGCTGACGCAACGTATGAATGAACTTCTTTCGCACCGTACGTAGCCAACCGTGCTAAACGGAGGTGCGGGGGCAAGAAGGCCAAACTAAGCACAAGAAGCTATTTTAAAGAAATTCCTTTTCAATTCTGATCATTTGTAAGTGCGTAGCTCCGGGTGGCTTCCTAACATCGAAAGGAAGAGCATTCCAGATGGCCGCAGGAGCGCATCAGAAAGGGCGACTCTGTGAGTGTGAGTTTGTGCACGTGCCGGCCTTCATAGGTGCTACTCACTAACAGCACTTGCCCTAACAGGCTGTACGAGGGGACTTTTGCCTTCGCGCGCGCACGCGCGCGTGTGTGTGTCTGTACATATGTATGTATGTTGAACTTCTTTCGCAGCCTACGCAGCCAGCCGTGATAATCGGAGGTGCGGGGGCCAAGGACGCCAAACGAAACGGAACTAAGCACGAAGAAGCAGTTGTAGAGAAGTGAGTTTCCTATCGAGATGATTTAGAGAGCGCAACAACTCCCAGTGGCTCGCGAATAGTCGCGCGGACTCGACCCACCTGGCGGTTGCACATGACGGCCTCCACGTCCGTCCCATCGCACGTCCTCCCTCCGAGCGCAGGCCTGCACGAACACGCTCACGGCGGCCGACGTCCGTCAAGACGATTGTGGCGATGGCGATGCTGTTGCTGATGACAATGATGATGACAATAGGCGCCCTTTGCCTAGCCGGGATACGGCCTCACTGAATCACGGCACTCTCGTCGGCATCGTGGTGCGTAACGTGCACAGACGCGCACGCGCAAAAAAGGGAACGCACACACGACAAAGATCCCCCCCGCCGCATGGCCTTTAAAAGACGGTTGGGTGTAAGTGCTGTTAGCGAGCACCTATGAAGGCCGGATCGGTACACAAGGGGGTGGGTGGCAAGCACCACGCCCGGCCGCCTTTGTCTCCCTAGTGGTGATGTTTACACATCGCACTAAGTACTCATTTGAGGCTGAGTCGACCTAGGAGAGGCCCAGGACCAGTTTAAATTCATCGTCACCGGCGTTGGCCGTGAGCGGGAATTGAACTTGGCTCGGCGGGTTCGTAGCGCAGCGTAGCGCGAACCGCTACACCACCGCTCCCCACAGTTGGCACACACACACACGCAGAGACACACACACACACACACGCAGAGACACACACACACACGCAGAGACACACACACACACGCAGAGACACACACACACACGCAGAGACACACACACACACGCAGAGACACACACACACACGCAGAGACACACACACACACGCAGAGACACACACACACACACGCAGAGACACACAGACACACATACAGACACAGACACACACACACACGCAGAGACACACACACACGCAGAGACACACACACACACACGCAGAGACACACACACACACACGCAGAGACACACACACACACACGCAGAGACACACGCAGACACACACGCAGAGACACACAGACACACATACAGACACAGACACACGCACGCACAGAGACACACGCAGACACACACGCAGACACACACACACGCATGCACGCAGACACACACAGACACATACACGCACACAGACACACTCAGACACGCACACAGACACACGCAGACACACACACGCACACAGACACGCAGACACACACAGACACACACATGTACGCATGCAGACACACACAGACACACACATGCACACAGACAAACACAGACAAACACAGACACACGCAGACACACAAAGACACACACACGCACGCAGACACATGCAGATCAACACAGACACACGCAGACACACACACACACGCATGCACACAGATACACGCAGACACACACAGACACAAATACACGCAGACACACGCAGACGCACACAGACACACACACACAGATGCAAGCAGACACACACGCACGCAGACACACGCAGACAACAATAACAACAACAACAACAACCGCCATTCGCCACTAAGTGGCGTCGACGCCACCACGACCCTTGTGCCAGGCTACGTGCACCTTGAGGCCACGTGAAGCGTCGAACGCCCGCAGACACACACAGACACACACAGGCACGCGCGCATCGCCGCGGCTCACCGGGGGCTGTTGCAGCGCCGCGTGCGGACCGTGACGCCGCCGCCGCAGGTACGCGAGCAGTCGCCGAAGCGGCCCCAGGCCGACCACGCGCCGTGCACCGGTTCGACGGACGGCGCCCCCGTGAACGGCACGCACGCGCCGCGCACGCACCGCTGCAAAGACACGGATCCCACGCGTAGCCTTCAACAGACCGCTGGGGCGAGCGCTGTTAGCCAGCGCCTGCGAAGGCCGGCACGGCACGCGAGGGCGGTGGGTGGGTGGGCGGCACCGCGCCCGGCCGCCTTTGTCTCCCCGGTGGCGATGTTTACGCAGCGCACCGGGTACTCATTTGAGGATGAGGCGGCCGAGGGGAGGCCCCGGGACCGGTTCAGATAATCGTCACCGGTGTTGGCCGTGAGCGGGAATCGAACTCGGGTCGCCGGGTGCGTAGCACTCATACACGCACACATCTACACACACACAACTACACGCAGACACTCCTACACGCACACACCTACACACACACCTACACACACACACAACTACACACACACACCTACACGCAGACACTCCTACACGCACACACCTACACACACACACCTACACACAAAAGACAAATACACTCCGTGAGCCTTTCAACGGACTGTTGGGATCAAACCTGTTGACCCACGACCTCCTGTATACCGGGCGAGGGAGTTAACATTTTCTAGCCACCTTGATGATGATGAGAGAGCGACACGCAAACTCCAAATATACAGCAGGTGTCAGGGTCGGGAGCGAACCAACGACCTCCTGTACACCAGGCGAGCTAGTTAACATCTCCTAGCCACCGTGATGATGATGAGAGAGAGACACGCAAACTCCAAATATACAGTAGGCGTCAGGGTCGGGATCGAACCCACGACCTCCTGTATACCAGGCGAGGTAGTTAACATCTTCTAGCCACCTTGATGATGATGAGAGAGAGAGAGACACGCAAACTCCAAATATACAGCAGGCGTCAGGGTTGGGATCGACCTCCTGTATACCAGGCGAGGTAGTCAACATCTCCTCGCCACCACGGCGCCTCCTCCTCCTCACCCGGTGGTCGGCGCAGGGCGTGCCGTCCAGCAGGGAGATGTGCAGCCGCGTGCAGCTTGAGAAGTCGTCGCGGTGCGTGTGGCACGAGAGCACGCTGCACACGTCCTGGCGCGCCCGTACGGACCGCCGGGGGCGGGGGCGGGCACACACGCAGCAGGGGCGCAGGGAGAAGGAGCGCGCACGGCACCCACGTGTGTGTGAGTGGGTGGGTGGGCGAGGGAGTTGGTGGGTGGAGTGAGTCGGCTTGGCGGAGTGAGTGGGTGGGCGAGCTGGTGGGTGGATGAGTGAGTGGGTGGGTGCGTGAGAAAGTGAGTGGATGGGTGAGTGGGTTGGTGAGTTGGTAGGTGGGTGGGTGAGTGAGTGGGTGAGTACATTAGAAAGTGAGCAGTGGGTGGGTAAGTGGGTTGGTGAGTTGGTGGGTGGGTGAGTGAGTGAGTGAGAGGGTGAGTGCGTGAGAAAGTGAGTGGGTTGGTGAGTTGGTGGGTGGGTAAGTGAGTGGGTTAGTGGGTGAGAAAGTGAGTGAGGGAGTGGGTTTGTGAGTGTGTGGGTGGGTGAGTGTTTGAGTGCGTGAGAAAGTGAGTGGATGAGTGGGTAAGTGGGTTGGTGAGTTGGTGGGTGGGTGGGTTGGTGGGTTGGTGGGTGGGTGAGTTGGTGGGTGGGTGGGTGGGTTGGTGAGTTGGTGGGTGGGTGGGTGAGTTGGTGGGTGGGTGGGTGAGTTGGTGGGTGGGTGGGTGAGTGGGTTAGTGCGAGGGAGGGGTGAGCGAGTTGGAAGGCGAGTGAGTCGGTAGGGTGAAAGAGTGAGTGAGTTGGTGGGTGAGCAAATCAACGGGTGGATTTGAGTTGGTTGGAGTCAGTGGGCGGCGTGAGTCGTCAACGGGCGGTGTGAGTGAGGTGGCAACCGAGTGAGCGAGGCGAGTCGGCCGGCGAGCCAAATGGACGATCAAAGCCGGCGGGTGATTCAGCGGGCCAGCGACACGGTGGCGAGCAAGTTGGGCGAGCGAGTGAGCGATCGGGCGAGCAAGTTGGGCGAACGGGCCTCGCCGCTCACCTTGTCGTCCTTGCTGAAGGAGCAGGCGGTGGCGCCGTGGCCGAACATGACGCGGCACTGCTCGTCGGCGCCGTAGCGCAGGCCCGGCAGCACGGGGGGCAGCACGGGGGGGTGGGCGGGCGCCGGGGCCGGGGGGGCGTCCGCCAGGCACCAGGCCTCTCCCGAGCTACACAAAGACAAAGATCCCTCCAGCCCCCACCACCACCACCACCACCGCCGCCGCCGCCGTCTAAACTTTCATAGAGTGTCAGGGCAAGTGCTGTTAGCGAGCGCCTGTGAAGGCCGGCACAGCACGCGAGGGGGCGGGTGGCCAGCAACCACGCCCGGCCGCCTTTGTCTCTCCAGCGCCGACGTTTGCACGCCGCATCAGGTACTCATTTGAGGCCGAGTCGACCTAGCGGAGGCCCAGGACCGTTTCAGATAATCGCGTGTTGGCCGTGAACGGGAATCGAACCCGGGTCGCCAGGTTTCGTAGCGCAGCGTAGCGCTAACCGCTAGACCACCGCTCCCCACACACGTCACGCGCACGCGCGCGCGGACACCTCAAGAATCGCAGCAGCTGCCTGCGGCTGCAGCGAGACCAGGTAGAGGAGAGGCTCGCGTGCGCCCCCTCCACCGCCATGATGTAGCCACCGCCACCGCCACAGTCGTTCTCCTCCCCGTCGTGAGTGATGCCGAGGCTGTCGTCGTGGGGGGCGGATGGGGTGGGGGGGGAGTGCACGCGGGGGATGGGGGGCGGGGGAGGGGTCAGCGACGAGATGATGAGCAGGGCACACGCGAAACCTGGCAGCGCCATCATCAACCACGGGCCCAGCTTGTAAGGTGGAGAGATGTTAACTCCCTCGCCTGGTATACAGGAGGTCGTGGGTTCGATCCCGACCCTGACGCCTGCTGTGTATTTGGAGTTTGTGTGTCTCTTTCATCATCATCACGGTGGCTAGGAGATGTTAACTCCCTCGCCTGGTATACAGGAGATCGTGGGTTCGATCTCGACCCTGACGCCTGCTGTGTATTTGGAGTTTGCGTGTCTCTCTCTCTTCCCATGAACGTGTGGATTTCTCTCCGGGTCCTCCGGTTTTTCCCTCCACATTTAGGATCAATGTGAGCTTAGAGTATTCGGCTTAGCCACTCCGTTGAGCTGTCATTTGTGGCCAGGTCGCTTCTGCACAAAGCGCGGTATAGCTCAGTGGGCTTTACCTGGTAAAATAAAAAGAGTAGTTTAGATGGAGTCATTCTTAAACCGAGTTTGACCGATTGTTGGCACTGCTCCCTTACACTCTGCGACTTCTCCCAGCTGGACAAAGCTGCACGTGACCGTCACCAAACATCTGTGGGACCGGAACGACTGCTCTGACCTCCGACCCCGACCTCTCCGTTGGCCGGACCACCTGCCGGTCTCGCCTGTCCAGCCGGGGTTCACCGCCTCGCCCCCAACCGACGGGCGGCCCCGATCTAACGACCCTGCTAATGACCTGTGGCCGATCTCGTGGGCGACGGTGACCCCGAGGTCGAAACCCGTGTCCTCGGCGAGGAGGCAGCTCCAGGCCGGGGAGCAGGCGCCACCCAGCTGAGCGGCACCGCGCACGGCGCGAAGACCGCCAGTGCCCACCAGGTCCTGCCTGCACTCCGGCGACAACAGCCGCCGTGACGGCAACCGCAACAACTGTGATTAACAACCACAACCGCCGTGACGGCGACAACAACCGCCGTGACGGCAACCGCAACAACCGTAGGAACCGTATCAGCACAGCGGTCCCGACGGCGTGACAACCGGCTGTGGCATTCGCAACCACCGCAACCACCGCAACCACCGCAACCACCGCAACCACGGCGACCGCAAGCGACGTACCGACGCGCGGCTCGTTGCTGCTGCCTGCGCATGCCAAGTGACTTGGTGAGCGAGTGACCCCCCCCACTCACTGACCTGGTGACCCCCCCCCTCCACTGACTCGTTGACCTCCCCACATTGACCCGGTGACCCCCCTTCTACTGACCCGGTGACCCCCTTCTACTGACCTGGTGACCCTCCCCCCAAATAACCCCCCACTGACCCGGTGACCCCCCGCACCGACGCGATGACCCCCTCCACTGACCCGGTGACCATCCACCCTGACACGGTGACCCCCCCGCACTGACCCGGTGACCCCCCACACTGACCCGGTGACCCCCCCCCCCCCACTGACCCGGTGACCCTCCACACTGACCCGGTGACCCCCCCCCCCACTGACCCGGTGACCCTCCACACTGACCCGGTGACCCCCCACACTGACCCGGTGACCCTCCACACTGACCCAGTGACCCCCAGAACAGACCCGGTGACCCCCCACACTGACCTGGTGACCCCCCACACTGACCCGGTGACCCCCCCCCCGCCACTGACCTGGTGACCCAACTAACCTGGTGACCCAACAAACCCATTGACCTGGTGACGTAGAGGGCGAGGTCGGCGTGGTCAGGGTGAGAGTCGTCCGCCGGGTTGTGTGAGCGGTGCCAGCGACAGAAGGAGGTGAGCGACGAGGTGACGTTCTCCGTCACGGCCAGTTCCACCTGCCGAGAGGTGCGGGCAGGTGAGAGTACAGGTGTACAGGTGAGTGTACAGGTGAGTGTACAGGTGAGGGTACAGGTGAGAGTGCAGGTGAGTGTGCAGATGAGTGTACAGGTGAGTGTGCAGATGAGTGTACAGGTCAGTGTACAGGTGAGGGTACAGGTGAGAGTACAGGTGAGTGTGCAGATGAGTGTACAGGTGAGTGTACAGGTGAGTGTGCAGATGAGTGTACAGGTGAGTGTACAGGTGAGGGTACAGGTGAGAGTACAGGTGAGTGTACAGGTGAGAGTACAGGTGAGTGTACAGGTGAGTGTGCAGGTGAGTGTACAGGTGAGTGTGCAGATGAGTGTACAGGTGAGTGTACAGGTGAGTGTACAGGTGAGGGTACAGGTGAGAGTACAGGTGAGAGTACAGGTGAGCGTGCAGGTGAGAGTACAGGTGAGAGTGCAGGTGAGAGTACAGGTGAGAGTACAGGTGAGGGTACAGATGAGTGTACAGGTGAGCGTGTACGTGAGAGTACAAGTGAGAGTACAGGTGAGAGTACAGGTGAGAGCACAGGTGAGCGTGCAGGTGAGATTACAGGTGAGAGTACAGGTGAGTGTACAGGTGAGAGTACAGGTGAGGGTACAGGTGAGAGTACAGATGAGTGTACAGGTGAGCGTGTACGTCAGAGTACAGGTGAGAGTACAGGTGAGAGTACAGGTGAGCATGCAGGTGAGCATACAGGTGAGTGCACAAGTGAGGGTATAGGTGAGAGTACAGGTGAGGGTACAGATTAGTGTACAGGTGAGAGTACAGGTGAGAGTACAGGTGAGAGTACAGGTGAGCGTGCATGTGAGAGTGCAGGTGAGAGTACAGGTGAGAGTACAGGTGAGAGTGCAGGTGAGAGTACAGGTGAGCGTGCAGGTGAGAATACAGGTGAGAGTGCAGGTGAGAGTACAGGTGAGAGTACAGGTGAGAGCACAGGTGAGCGTGCAGGTGAGCGTGCAGGTGAGCGTACAGGTGAGGGTACAGATGAGTGTACAGGTGAGGGTACAGATGAGTGTACAGGTGAGCGTGCACGTCAGAGTACAGGTGAGAGCACAGGTGAGCGTGCAGGTGAGCGTGCAGGTGAGCGTACAGGTGAGAGTACAGGTGAGAGTACAGGTGAGGGTACAGATGAGTGTACAGGTGAGCGTGCACGTCAGAGTACAGGTGAGAGTACAAGTGAGCGTGCAGGTGAGGGTACAGGTGAGTGTGCAGGTGAGCATATAGGCGAGAGTACAGGTGAGAGTACAGGTGAGCGTGCAGGTGAGAACATGGAGGTGAGCGCGTGCACGCAGGTGTACACACAGGTGCGTGTACGCATTGGGGTCTGCGCATGAATATACACGCAGGTGTGTAGACGTCAGGTGTGTGTGTGACCGGCTCCAGTTTAACAGCAGAGGTCTCACTCCGAATCAGTCGAGCGGCAATATCTTTTCATCGGTTACGTAACGCTGTGCGGAAGCTACCTGGTCTGTCGCTCCACACGAAGCTTCGGGTCTTCTCGGCCACAGTCATTCCCTCCCTTCTCTACGCTTGCGAAACGTGGACCCCCCCCTAATAGAACATCTTCGCCGGTTAGAAATATTTAGGCTGGCCTGCCTACGATAAATCCTGGGTTTAACCAGGCTGGATTGTGGGAGGAGCTCACAAATCCTCGAAAGATCTGGACAAAATCCCATCGGTGAGCACCTCCGGCAGGCAAGGCTATGTTGGCTGGGTCATGTAGCCCGCATGCCCAATCACCGCATGCCTAAACAGCTTTTGTTTGGCCGGATCGAGGGGGCTAAACGGGTGTGGCACAGGCTAGAGAAGAGATGGAGTGATGTGGTACAGGTGGACGTGGAGCTGAGTGGACTTGCCGATGACTGGTACCAGCAGTGTCAAGATCGGCCTCTGTGGAGGAGGCTCGTGAAGGACGCTACTGGGCAGTTGGAGGCAGTCGCCATCCAACAACAAAAGAGGACGGAGGAGCGATGCTCACAACAACGAGCGGAGCACCGGTTTGGCTAAAGCACAACAAGTTGGCACAATAAGGGGCACAGGTGGTGCATCAGCCAGTCATCTCGGTCATCTCAGTCAGTCGACCCGTGGCACCTGCAGGGTCTGCCCCTTGACCTCCTGCCAGCAGGCGTTCGACACTTCACGTGGCCTCAAGGTGCACATAGCCTGGCACAAACGTCGTGGTGACGTCACCACCACTTAGTGGCGAATGGCGGTTGTCGTTGTTGTTGCAGGTGTATGTAAGTGTGAGTAGGTGTGTGTAAGCGTGAGTAGGTGTATGTAAGTGTGAGTAGGTGTGTGTAAGTGTGAGTAGGTGTATGTAAGTGTGAGTAGGTGTGTGTAAGTGTGAGTAGGTGTATGTGTGAGTGTGAGTAGGTGCATGCAAGTGTGAGTAGGTGTATGTGTGAGTAGGTGTATGTAAGTGTGAGTAGGTGTGTGTAAGTGTGAGTAGGTGTATGTAAGCGTGAGTAGGTGTATGTAAGTTTGAGTAGGTGTATGTAAGTGTAAGTAGGTGTATGTGTGAGTAGGTGTATGTAAGTGTGAGTAGGTGTGTGTAAGTGTGAGTAGGTGTATGTAAGCGTGAGTAGGTGTGTGTAAGTGTGAGTAGGTGTGTGTAAGTGTGAGTAGGTGTATGTAAGTGTGAGTAGGTGTATGTGCGAGTAGGTGTATGTAAGTGTGAGTAGGTGTATGTGTGAGTAGGTGTATGTAAGTGTGAGTAGGTGTATGTAAGTGTGAGTAGGTGTGTGTAAGTGTGAGTAGGTGTATGTAAGTGTGAGTAGGTGTGTGTAAGTGTGAGTAGGTGTGTGTAAGTGTAAGTAGGTGTATGTGTGAGTAGGTGTATGTAAGTGTGAGTAGGTGTATGTGTGAGTAGGTGTATGTAAGTGTGAGTAGGTGTATGTAAGTGTGAGTAGGTGTGTGTAAGTGTGAGTAGGTGTATGTGTGAGTAGGTGTGTGTAAGTGTGAGTAGGTGTGTGTAAGTGTGAGTAGGTGTGTGTAAGTGTGAGTAGATGTGTGTAAGTGTGAGTAGGTGTATGCAAGTGTGAGTAGGTGTGTGTAAGTGTGAGTATGTGTATGTAAGTGTGAGTAGGTGTAAGTGTGAGTAGGTGTGTGTAAGTGTGAGTAGGTGTGTGTAAGTGTGAGTAGGTGTGTGTAAGTGTGAGTAGGTACCGGAGTCGAGTCTCCGAGCAGCAGTAGCCGGACCACGTGTAGGTGGATCTGTCTGCCCAGGCTGGGAAGACGGAGAAGTTCTGCAGCCTGCAAACACAAGAACAACAACCGCCATTCGCCACTAAGTGGCGGTGATGTCACCACGGCGCTTGTGCCAGACTATGTGCACGTTGAGGCCACGTGAAGTGCCGAACGCCCGCCGGCAGGTCACGGGGCAGACCCAGGTGCCACGGGTCGACTGACTGAGATGACTGGCCGATGCACCACCTGTGGCCCCCTACTGTGCCAACTTGCAAACACACAAGCACACTCAAGTGCCTGGTTGTGTATGTACATACATGCGTCTGCGTAGACATGCGTATCTCTACCTATGTGTGTGTGCATGTGCCTGCGTGATCGACTCAAATGAGTACCTGGTGCAATGTGTAAACATTGCCACGAGAGAGACATCGACGGCCAGGCGTGGTGTCGGCCACCCACAGTTCGTGTGCTGTGCCGGCATTTATTGGTGCTAGCTAACAGCTCTTGCCCCAACAGTCTGTTGAAGGCCACATTGGGGACCTTTGTTTTGTTTGTGCGCCTGCCAGAGGAGCGCGTGCACGTGCGTGTGCGTGCGCGTGCGACCCCCCGCGTACGATGTTGATGTTGGTGAGCAGGTAGCGCTGCGTGTCCTCCCCGTGGTGCCGCCCCACGTCCGCCCCAGCCACCACCACCAGCTCCACGTGGAGGCCCCTGGGCTCCGGCGGGGTCCGCCCGGGGCTCCGGGACCCCGAGGGCGTGGACGCGGGGGTCCGCGACGTCGAGGGGCTGTGCGCGGAGGTCGCGTTGGCCGGCGGGGTCACGGGGAGGGGCGGGCGGCCTGCCGTGGTGTTTGGTGCGGAGGCTGCCAGGGCGCTCGGGGTGACGGTGGGTGATGGGGTAGTGCTAGGGGTAGTGCTAGGGGTAGTGCTAGGGGTACTGTTAGGGGTAGTGCTAGGGGTAGTGCTAGGCGTAGTGTTAGGGGTAGTGTTAGGGGTGGTGCTAGGGGTCGGGGTAGTGTTAGGTGCGGTATTATGAGCAAAACTAGGGGTCGTGTCAGCAGTGTGAATATTGGTAGCGTTAGGCGCAGTGTTATGGGCAGGGCTAGAGGAAGGGGTTGTGATATTGAGATGGTTGGTGATAGGGGTAGTATTAAGAGTAGTGTTCGGGGTAGGCTTAGTGGTGGGGTTATGGGTAATGTTAACAGCAGTGGTAGGGGTAGTGTTAGGGATACGGTGAAGGATGGTGGTAGGGTTAATGCCATTGATGTTCAGGCCAGTGTCGTCATCAGGGCTTGTGCTTGTGCTCTGGTTATGGCTGGCAGTAGAGTTGTGGCCAGGGGTAGAATGGGAGTTCATGCGAGGCCTATTTTTAGGGCTATGGCTAGTGCTAGGGTGAGAGTCAGTGGTAGGGTGAGGGCTAGCAGGAGGGGTAGTACTCTGGTTATGGTTAGTGCTAAGGCCAGTACTAGGGTTAAATCTAGTGGCAAGTTCAGTGCTATTGGCAAGGTCAGGGCTAACATTATGGTTATGGGTAGTGTACAGATTAGAGTCAGTGTTAGGGGCAGCATCGGCGCTGCGAGGACCCGGGCTAGCGCTAGTGCTCGTGCGAGCGCTCGTGCTCGGGTCAGGTTTCGTGCTAGCGGCAGGAGTAGAGGTCGAGCTAGGGTCGGTGATGCTGCCGGGGCCAGGCTGCGGTGCTTCCGGACTGGGCCCTGCGCTAGCGGTGGGAGCGTCGCTGTCCGGGGTTCTATCAGCGCCGTCGGCGGGTCGCGCGGTGGCACCAGGGTCGATGGCCGGGGCGCGACCTTGAGCCGCAGCGTGGACGGGCAGGGAGCCGGGGTCGCCGGGGTCGCCGGAGGAATCGGGGGACGAACGTTTGGAGATGACCCGGTGCGCCGGTTTGGATTCATCCGGCTCTGGAGGTCACAGGCAGCGGACGGGGTAGGGGGGGAGTGCGAGCGGTCGTGACAGTGGTGGAGCAGTCGGAGCGCTGCTCTATGGACCCGACACCCCGAGTTCGATCCCCGCTCTATACTGGTGACGTTTATCTAAACACAAAAAGCCGTTCTAAAGAAATGAGTTTTCAATCTCGATTTAGAAGTGCACAGTTCCAGTGGCTTCCTATACTGTTAGCGAGCACCTTTGAAGGCCTACACGAAGGGTTGGATGGCCAATACCACGCACGGTCGCCATTGTCTTCCCAGCGGCGATGTTTACGCACCGCACCACGTACTGCTTTGAGGCTGAGTCGACCTAGGGGAGGCCCAGAACCGGTTCAGATGATCGTCACTGGTGGCGGCCGTGAGCGGGAATCGAACTCGGGTGGCAGGGGTTCGTAACCACTGGGCCAACATGCTATATACCGTACACACAAATAAAATATCGGAATATAAAAACTACACATCTCTCCTGAAGCCCTCTCATCATGGCGAGCAGAAGGCCTCGACATTGGCATTAACTCCCTTCACAAACTGTTGCTGCCATAGGCATGGATATATATTTTAAAGAAACACGTATTATGTTATATTAATGGTTTAGTTAAGCCGGCTATATTGCCAGCTCTTTTATTGCGAGACGACTTTCGTCGCGCAAATGTTTTGACCACTGTAAGTGTGCGTGTGTAAACATCGCCCACAATCACAAAGCTCCCGAGTTTAATCCATCTCTTCGAGCTTTCATCAACAACATAGACGCACGCACACGCACGCACGCGCGCGCACATACCTACCTAGCTGTCTGTGATGATCACGGACACGATAGCACGTGTGCCCAAACATGGACACAAAGACAAAGATCCCGCCCCCCCCCCCCGGCTTCCCATACAGCCTTCATAGACTCTTAGGCCAGAAGATCTTGTAGCTGGCCCTGCTGGTGATGGTGGTTAGCCAGTGGAGGAGGGAGTGGAGGAAGGAGATGTTGTAGCTGGCCCTGCTGGTGATGGTGGTTAGCCAGTGGAGGAGGGAGTGGAGGCAGGAGATGTTGTAGCGGGCCCTGCTGGTGATGGTGGGAAGCCAGTGGAGGAGAGAGTGGAGGCAGGAGATCTTGTAGCTGGCCCTGCTGGTGATGGTGGGAAGCCAGTGGAGGAGGGAGTGGAGACAGGAGATGTTGTAGCTGGCCCTGCTGGTGATGGTGGTTAGCCAGTGGAGGAGGGAGTGGAGGCAGGAGATCTTGTAGCCGGCCCTGCTGGTGATGGTGGTTAGCCAGTGGAGGAGGGAGTGGAGGCAGGAGATCTTGTAGCTGGCCCTGCTGGTGATGGAGGGAAGCCAGTGGAGGAGGGAGTGGAGGCAGGAGATCTTGTAGCCGGCCCTGCTGGTGATGGTGGTTAGCCAGTTGAGGAGGGAGTGGAGGCAGGAGATGTTGTAGCTGGCCCTGCTGGTGATGGTGGTTAGACAGTGGAGGAGGGAGTGGAAGCAGGAGATCTTGTAGCTGGCCCTGCTGGTGATGGTGGTTAGCCAGTTGAGGAGGGAGTGGAGGCAGGAGATGTTGTAGCTGGCCCTGCTGGTGATGGTGGTTAGCCAGTTGAGGAGGGAGTGGAGGCAGGAGATGTTGTAGCTGGCCCTGCTGGTGATGGTGGTTAGACAGTGGAGGAGGGAGTGGAAGCAGGAGATCTTGTAGCCGGCCCTGCTGGTGATGGTGGTTAGCCAGTTGAGGAGGGAGTGGAGGCAGGAGATGTTGTAGCTGGCCCTGCTGGTGATGGTGGTTAGACAGTGGAGGAGGGAGTGGAAGCAGGAGATCTTGTAGCCGGCCCTGCTGGTGATGGTGGTTAGCCAGTTGAGGAGGGAGTGGAGGCAGGAGATGTTGTAGCTGACCCTGCTGGTGATGGTGGGAAGCCAGTGGAGGAGGGAGTGGAAGGAAGGCGAGGGAATCTAGTCGATGGTTACAGGCGGTGGTGGCCACACGGGTGAGATTATTTTGCAAAGGTTGGACTCTCCTGATGTCACTCTATGCAGATTGAACTAGGACAGAGTTGCAACCATGAAGCGAGGCCCGACTATGCTGCAGGCAAATGGCGTTGATGTTGGTGCAGGTAGCGGGTGATGGGGAGGGTGGTACGCACAAATATTGTTGACAATACCGGGCGGCCCTCGAAATTAAAGAGCGGCTGATAACCGCGGCACGCATGACTTCACACGCCGGGTTCTGGGAAAGACGCCGCTATCAGCAAAAAGACAACCCAAACGCTGTCTGCCATACCTCGTAGACACACACACACGAACGCACAAACTCACATACGCTCCGACTCCTCTCATCCCGCAATTCCTAATGTCCACGCACACCTTGGCTCACCGATCCTTGCAAACCCACCTTAAAAACCTCAGATATTTGATCTTCTGAACAAAAAAACAAAATGGGCTACGTGAAACGGAACCTGCACGTCACACGGCAGATTGCACCCAGCACGGCCATCGCGAGCGGAGACTCAGCACGATGCGTGTGCACGTCACATCACCGGGGAGCCAAAGGTGGCTGAGGCGTGGTACCGGCCACAGCACCGCCCTCGAGTGTGACCCCGCTAATAGCACTTGCCCCAAAAGCCTGCCAAGGCTATACGGGGGATCTTTGTCTGTGTCTATGCGTGTCTTTGTATCACTCACGGTTACATTCCTTTGTTGCCAAGTGTCCCCCAGACTCCGATGGGCGAATGATGAGACGACACCGACCCAGAAACACGACCCCCTCCTGGAGAGAATTTACAGTGGTGGGGGATGGGGTGCATTTGAAAATAAGAGCAATTACTCACTCTCTTACCTAATCCTTGTTCCGATTCACGCGGTCACTCGCTCGTTCACACAATTGTTCCACGGCTCATTCACTCACCCGCCCACTCATTCACTCGCCGCCCACCGACTCATTCACCCAGCTCAATCGTTGCAAATGAGACTCCTCTATCCTGGCCTCTGAGTTCTCAACCGGTTAAAAAAAACATTAACCTAAAACTCAAACTAAACAAGAAACGAAGCAATTTTGTTTATCTTACCAGGTAAGACCCACTGAGCTGTGTAGCTCTTTTTCATAAGCGACTTGGCGAAAAATGATAGCTCAACGAAAGTGGCTTATTAGCAAGTGGAAATGTGTCGCAGACAAATACTCTAAACGCGCGACTCTGATTCCAAATGCGGACGGAGAAAACGAAGGACCCTCGGAGAAAAACCTCACGCGACCAACGGGGAGAGAGAGAGGCACGCGAACTCCACATACACAACGGGCGTCAGGGTCGGGATCGAACCCACGACCTCCTGTATACCAGGCGAGGTAGTTAACATCTCATAGCCACCGAGATGATGATGATGATGATGCGAGAGAGACACGCAAACTCCAAATATACAGCAGCAGGCGTCAGGGTCGGGATCGAACCCAGGTCCTCCTTTTTATACCAGGCGAGGCAGTTCACGTCTCCTAGCCACGGGTGGCGAATCGACTTCACCGTACCAGCTGGGCGTCGTCGCAGACGCTGAGCGCGAAGCGCCCTCCGGGGGGGTGCGACGCCACGTCCCCGCGCGCGTAGACGCACTCCGACCGGGCCCCCCCGCGCGCCCCCCCCCGGACCCCCCCCCGGGCCCCCTCCGCGGTGGCCTCCACGTGGTAGGAGGCGGTCAGCAGCTGGGTCTCCGAGCTCGTGGCCTTGACGGCCAGGAGGAGGAGGACATCGCCGAAGACGCGAAGCTCCAACGCGTCCCCTTGCGACGAAGGGCACGGAGCCCAGTTCGGGGATCCCTCCTCGGTGAACCCCGGGGCGTAGGGTCCGCACACCCAGCGAGCTGCGAGGGGTCCAATCTCTTGTGACCCACCACCTCTCACCTCGTTCACCTGGTGGGGGGGGGGGTTATTGAAATCTCTGGTTATGATGATAACGATGACGGCGATAAATAATGTCGCATCGGTAAAGGAGGGTTGATTGGCCGTACTTCCCCATGGGTTGGTGAATTTCGGGGAGGGCACCCAGGACCGTGCCAGATATCACTCGGGACCGGTTCAGGTGCCACCGATGTTAGCCGTTGCTGGGAATCGGATAACCCCCGAGTTTCTCAGCACAGTGTGCTAACCACTGCGCCACCACTCCACCCCCCATAATTAACAAGGTTATCATCACTAGGAGGGTGGGGGGGGGGGGGCTATCACGAGGATTACCCCAATTCTTCATCCCTACGCCCACCATCATCCTATTAACTAAACAATTTTATTTATTTTATTTCACCAGGGTAAGGGCCCACTGAGCTGTGTAGTTCTTTTAAAGAAGCGACTTGGCCACAAATGATAGCTCAACGAAGTGGCTTATCATCATCACGTAGAAATGTGTAGAGGGAAAATTACTCGTAAACGCGTGACGTCGATTCTAAATGCGGAGGGGAAACCCGCGTTTAGAATCCACGTCACGCGACGACGCGCAGAGAGACACGCAAACTCCAAATATAGAGCAGCAGCAGCAGGGTCGAGATCAAACCCGCGACCTCCTGCACACCAGGCGAGGTAGTTAACATCTCCTAGCCACCGTGATGATGATGAGAGAGAGAGAGACACGCAAACTCCAAATATACAGCAGCAGGCATCAGGGTCGGGATCAAACCCGCGACCTCCTGCACACCAGGCGAGGTAGTTAACATCTCCTAACCACCGGGGCGCCAACCCTCCCCCGCGCGCTTCTCACCTGAGTCCCCTCGTTGACCCCCAAGGTGACCGACACGAGCAGCAGGGTACACAGAGACACGTGGGGAGACATGGCGACCTCCACTCCTCTCTCTCTCTCTCAGGCGCCTCCTCTCCTATTGGGACTCGCAGGGCTAAACGAAAGGAGCATCATCATCATCGTTATCGTAGGCGTGGAGGACACGGATAAATAAAAACCACGGAGAGAATAGTGGAAGCTGCAGCGAGCTGCAAGGTGGCGGGGTGGATTAGACGAGACGGTGTCACAAAAAAAGTGAATCGTTGGGCTGTTCGTCTCTATGCGCGCGTGTTGGTGGGTTGCACGCACGTGTCTTCGTACGTACGCGTGATAATGTGTATGTGTGTCTGTGAGTGCAAGTGTAAGAGTGTGTTGGGTTGTGTGCGGTGCGAAAGACGTCATACATACATACTTGTCTGTCTGTATGCATGCGTAATCACGGGAGGCGATAGTGCAGAGGTTAGCGGGCTGCGCTATGAACCCGGGCACCCGAGTTCGATTCCCGCTCACGGCCAACTCCAACACCAGTGATGTTTATCTGAAACAGGTCATGGGTCTCCCCCAACGCTGACACAGCCTCAAATGACTACCTAGCGCGGTGCGTAAACATCGCCACCGGGGAGACAAAGGCGACCGGGCGTGGTGCTGGCCACGCCGTGCCCCTTCGCGAACCGTGCCGGCCTTCATATGCGCTGGCTAACAACGCTTGCCCCAAATTACTGTTAAGGCTATTCGGGGCATCTTTGTCTTTGTGCGTAAGCATTTGCCAACACGATGGTTCAGCATCCTCCACCGCCAGGCGTTTCCCATGCGAGGCAAAACAAACCAACTTGCGACCATCCCTTCCTCCTCCTCACTCACTCACTCCAGCCCCTCCCTTGCCTTGCCCACACTCCCGTCCCACTCTCAAACCCAATTCTCACACTTGATGTAAATGTTGGGAAAGTCATAATCGCTGTCGGCCACGCTCAAATAGACTTCCTCCTCTTTCTGTATTGTCCGCGTATTTCTCAATTGGGATTATAGAGAGCAATCGTCCCCCCCCCCCCCTGGTCCCCAACCTGGACCCTCACGAGACTCAGTCGGGGCTTTTCCTGGTGAGATGTTAACTACCTCGCCTGGTATGCAGGAGGTCGGTGGTTCGACGCCGACTCTGACGCCTGCTGCTGCTGCTGTATATTTGGAGTTGACGCGTTCTCTTCTTGTTTCGTGGATTTTTTTTTACCTTCTCTGGGTCCTCAGATTTTTCCCCTCAACATTTAGACTATTTCGATAATTTTTCATATATATACACATATATATACACATATATACACGTCCAAATTGTAAGCCACTTTGTCGGGCTATCATTTGTGGCCAGGTCGCTTTTGAAAAGAAAAAAAACAAGTTAATACTTCAGTGGGCTTTGTGCGGTAGGATGGGGATGTTTTAGTTTTATTTGTTTGTGTTTAGGCGATTTGTTTACCTCTCTTATACTCTGCACTCCGATCGTGTTTTTGTGTTGTTTGTTGTTGTGACGTTCTTACGCGCCCCGACTGGACATCTGTGGAAAAAACAAAGCTTTATAGCTCATCCGATTCCTTGAGTATAAATAAATGATTGTGCAATCAACGCTGGAAAAAAAATGCAGAGAAAGTCATTCGTCTGCTTTGTCTGAGAGTATGTGAATCCGCTGTTGGATGGACGCCTGCCCCAAGCGATGAACACGAACTAACGACATCACTGGGAGACTCAGCCAGGCGCTAAAGTGAGTGCTTGTGTTGCGATCGAATCGTCGTGATATATTAGTTTAAATTTTGTTCTAATTTTTGTTTTTACCTACGTGACTTTACCGAAAGAACCAAAGAGTATACAAGTCGTCTCGTTTAGACCACCAACTCAAAATGCGACAATATCTTGGCCCAACCAAACCCCCTTCCCCTCCATCCACCCCAACTCAATTTGAACAAACTGTCTAGGATTTAAGCTGTCTACAAATGAAAACCGTCTGGAATTTAAGCTGTCTGAAATTGTAACCATTTTTCAATTTAACGTGTTGGTCCCCCCCCTCCTCTCCCCCCCCCCGAAATGGTATGACGATTGTGCTCTTGCACTTCTTTGTGAGACGAAGAACTGCAACTCTCACAGAGACGTGCAAACCGTCGTGAAAACAACCCACGGAAGTGGATAACGCAGAACTACCCCTGAGATCCTCGTTAAGGGAACCCAGGTTCACACGGTAGGGTGGCAGCACTTTCCCACCCACCCGAGTAACATTTGGCGCATGACAGTAAACCCGATATTTCTCATTTCTCAGAGATGGAATTTAACCGAATTACGCGCAGATACAAATGTAATGCAACGGGGGTATTTTGTGTGTGTGTGTGCAGTCATTGGTAACCCGGCTGAGACCATCAACTCACTGCACTTGAAACCACGGGGAAATGGCTCGAACCTGTATTAAAACCCAGGATCTCAACAGTGCCGAGTCAGCACTCTTGACCTCTTAAGGCACCCGGTCAACCTTTAATTCTTTCTTTTGACGATTTAAATTGTTACAGAAGAGGCTATATTAGGCGAAAGCAAAGCCCCCTACCCCCCCCCCCCCCCACATTAATATTTTAGCGTTTAACTGCACGCGTTTACTTTCCCTAAAGGCAACTTCATTGGCATCGTAGAATTTTTACAGCTGGCAGTATGCCTTCTGAAACGAAACGCTATGATTGAAAAAACACACTCACGTACGCGCAGACACAAAGACAAAGTCCCCCGCCCCACCGTATAGCCTTAGCAGACTGTTGGGCAAGTGCTGTCAGCGAGCAACACCTATGAAGGCTGGAAATGGTACACGAGGGGGTGGGTGGCCAACACCACGCCCGGCCGCCTTTGTCTCCCGAGTAGCGATGTTTACTGCACGTCGCACCTGACACTCATTTGAGGCTGAGTCGACCTCGTGAAAACCCCGCACCGGTGCAGATAATCGTCACTGATGTTGGCCGTGCGAGGGATTCAAACTCGGATCGCCGGTTTCGTTTAACTGAAACACGTTCGGAGCGCAGCGCGCTAACCGCTGCGCCACCGCTCCCCATTTCAAACACACGCACAATAAAAGACGCCCTCGCAGTCACGTAAGTTATCAAGCCATATCCACATGCGTACACACACGATCATTGGTGTCACAAACGTTTTAACGTTTGCGCAGTCACAGACAAATAAACACACTCACTCTCTTACACGTGGCTCAGAGATTCCCCGTGTAGACTCTTCACAGCCTGTTGGAGCAGGCGCTGTTAGCGAGCACCTATGAAAGGCCGACACGGCACACGAAGGTCCGGGCACAAACGCCACGCCGCCTTTGTCTCCCGAGTGTTGATGTTTATATACCCCAGCAGGCACTGTTTGTTTTAATGCCGAGTCGACCTAGGCGTGTATCAGCACCCGTTCCGATATCACTCGCCACCGATGTTAGCTGTGGCTAGGAATCAAACTCAGGTAACCGGTGCGCTATTCACTTACTCCACAGCTCCCCATTAGACGCAGACAGATTAACACACACACAGATGTCTACACGAACACTCACCCACACACAAGCACATCCATCCACGCGCGCGCGCACGCACACTTGACATACTCACACATGCGCCGTGACACAAATATTCAGACATTCACGTACATACACATAGTACACACACAAATACACGTCCGCACACTGGTACACTCACTCACATCAACATACTCACTCGCACGCACCACACACTTTCACACAAACTCAGACGCACACATACTAAGAGACACGCAGATAAAGACCCCCCCGTATAGCCTTAACAGACTGTGCGGGCAAGTGCTGTTAGCGAGTCGCACCTATGAAGGCCGGCACGGCACA